TTTATTACATTAAACAAAATATTTCACGTCTTCCCGTAGCTTCGAATGACATCAGATGCAATGTCTACTCCACGTTTTCTTTCCTATTCTTGTGCAACATAAATCAGCATGTGACTCAACTCTATGTGAAAGTTATAAAACGCTTTCTCGTGCATGCAACCAACCTTCTCCCTTTTTTTCTCACACAACTATTTATTTTTGCCTTTTCTAGTGTTCGGTTATTTTATTGGCCTCTACGGAACAGTCGTTTTTTTTTCTTTTTCTGTTCTTCATTACAATTGACTCCTTTTTGCATCTCTTTAAAAAAACCGACAAACAGAAGAATGACGACTGCTACTTCGACAGCTGCCAACGACAGTGTTCCGTCTAATTACCATACAGTGACTATTTGTGCAAATCTACCAAAAATCAACAAATATTACAGCGTTGAAGAGCTCAAGGATCTTCCACCTACTGACTACTGGTTGAAGAAGATGGATGAAGAAGATGAGAAAGCCTGTTTCAATATCCAACATGTTGTTGCCAATGGTCCTTGTAAGTAACGCAAACTTGGTTTTTCGGCATTGACATATATCTTCTAATGTTTAGATACCTCGGATAATGAGAATCATGCGATTTTCTCGGCTTTTCTTTTTGCCTACAATTCACACGAAGATATTGTTTTATCTCCAGATGATATGTGGCTCATGATTTGTATCTATTTTTCACAATATGTCAATGAGAACGCCGAACAACTCCGTTCACTTTTTGTTGATCAAGATGACCGTAAAAAATTGACTGTTGTACAAATAGGTTTGGTTGAACCCGAGTAAGTTTGTCAAAAGAAAACTCAGATATTCTTTATTGTTGTAGTTGGAATGATTTTCTCGAACGTATGCGAATGGAAATAGGTAATCATTTGAAAAACGATATTACGGAATTACTGACATCGAATTTTTCAACAACTACCCAATTTCAATCACTTCTTTCATGCATCGCTATCATGGATACATTTCAAAAGTACTTCGAATATGAATGCTATATTACGAAGTGTGGTATTCGCAATGTTCACTTTACGGGTACATTAGACGATTGGAAGCTTCTACGTCAAAAAACAAAAGAATTGAAGAAGTTTGTCACATCTAGGTCAAATAGTTTTGAAACTTATATCAATGGCTTATTACTCATTTTCGATCAATTCATTCAGACCTATCAAGGCAAAGTAGACAATGAATTCTGGAACAAGGTCATGGATATCGAGCATGTGGGCGGTGGAAGATCAGGAAGGTGAGCATTTAGCATAGGAAATTGTCGGCAGAGTAATAAAGTAAGAGCTATTACATTAGCATTGCGTGCTAACTACATTATATCACTGAGTGTACAATTCTGTGTGTGATGAGAGAATCAAATGACAAAAACTACAGTAGAAATTTTGCATTAAATCAAATAAATACCTAATTCAAATGAGATGATAGTTCGGAGAATTCTAAGTTTTGTCTGTTTATTTGAAGAAAAATCGATGCATAAAATAGATATGAAGAAAGAGAGATTTACTGATCTTTTTATGTTTTCAGAATGTCTGGTACATACGTAAGTGGATGGATTCTTCGGCTCTGCTATGGATTGCATACCAAGAGTAACTGTGAAATTAGACAAATAAAACTTAATTCATTTAACGTGCCCGTTCAAGTAAATAATGAAATAATCAATCAATCAAAGACATGTTATGTAACTGGAGGCTTTCACGGAGTTGATTCACGTGATGAACGCCATAAACCGGTGATGAGTCTTGCCATTATTGAGGATACAAGTACAATTAAACCTTTAAAACAAAACTGATCGTTAGAGACTACGTAGTCGTCGTTTCTTTTAGTTAAGAAACTATACCTTCTATATGAGAAATATTGTAGAAAATAAACCGTGTAAAAGAAAATAATCTTCTGTGTAATATCTGTTTTTACACAAGGCAACTTTCTAGAACAACTATTTCTATCATCCAAAATGATTCTTTTGAATATGAACTCACTCTCAAAGAAGTATTGAAATTCGTGAGTAGAAAAGCTCGGCGTACTTTTATTCGAATCAAATTGATATGACAAAAAATAGTTCGATATCAGCGAAGGCATATTCAGATATGCTCGAGTTTATTAGCGTCTCTTGAGATGGGTGTGTGAGTGTTCTCTTTCATCTAATCCACACCCACACCCATAAGCAAAAAACCTCGAAAATTTCAGATTTATAGCATGTACCTGAGCTGAGATCAATGCTTAAGGGAACTTAAGAAAGCCTCAAAAGTCAGACCATTTATTCGGTTCAAATAAGACGTTGGAAAACGCGGCTTCGGAGATTGCCATTATGAATGGTTTTTATAGACCTAATAAACGGTCTGACTTCCGCGGTGCGATGAGACCACACAAGATCAGATATTCTCGAACCTCAGTCAACCGCGGTTTTTGCATCAATTTTTTTCGTGGATAGGGTAACAAAGGCAGACCGTCATAAAGTATAAGTCTCTTCTTCCCTCTCACTCTCACCTATCTAGCTGCTCTGGTAATTCAGTTTGAAATCAAATTCCCTAGACTGAAAGGCTAGGGTCTAGAAACCTAAATTTTCTGTGTTTGGATCGGTGACGTCTGTGTTTGCATCGGTGACGTCTATGTTTGCATCGGTGACATCTGTGTTTGTATCGGTGACGTCTGTGTTTGTATCGGTGACGTCTGTGTTTGTATCGGTGACATCTGTGTTTGCATCGGTGACGTCTGTGTTTGGATCCGTAACATCTTTGTTTGAATCGGTCGCAGAGGTTGTTTGTGCATTTTGATCTGGTCTTCGAGGTAAATTTGGCCTTTTGGTGAATTTTCTAGCTACATGCTCGATTCTATTGTTTGCCATTTTTTTCTAGTTAATTTTCAAAATATCGCAAGCTTTTTCTGTCTTTTAAATATCAGTCTTCCGTGATCTGATTTCAGTTTTCGTGTTTTATCGCGCTTTTTTCTTAATTTCACTTTCGAGTATCTCATCATAAATAGTTTAGTTTTCTTTGAGTATGTTTACTTGAATACGATATTGTGGCGAAATAACGGTGCCAACTCGTCGCCCATCGATCTTAATTCTTCCAGTAACATTCACGATTATATGAAAATGGATATCCGCTTGTCGACTTCTACAAACCGAATGCGAGCTTTTCGTGCCCGTCGTGCTCTCGTTGAGACTGCTGAACAGAAAGAGAGTCGCCTGGCTATTGACAGACAATACAGAAAACAGCGATTGATCGATTTTGGTGTCAAAAAAACAGTCGAAGAGAAGCAAACGCATCTTATATCACGTAGCCAATACGAAGTGAAACGTCTAGCCGATAAACGTGCAAAAGAAAACGCAAAGGAGAGAGAAGAACGTCTTACAGCCAAACGTGCTAAAGAAATGAACCGCCGACACAACTTACGAGCACGCGAGACTGATGCGGAGCGAAATACTAGATTAGAACGTGATCGTGATCAACATCGGTAAGACTCATAGTTTCTTTGTTTTTTCTACCAAACATTCCTTTCTTTTCGACTCATAGGGCGAAAACACGTGCGAAAAATGATTCAAATATGGCAACTGACCGAAACTGCGCTGTATGCGGCTATAAAATCCTGACTCAAAATTGGTCACAATTAACTATCAGATCGTTTCCGAACCTGCATCTTCTTCGACCTCAGAGCGACGAGATATCGAATTCTGTTTTGAAAATTAATTTTTCACGATTTACCAGTAAGGATCTTTATTGATCGGAAATCATCATTTTGAAACGTTTTCTAACTCAAAATAGGCTATGTTCGACGAATGTTAGAAACTTTCTCTGGTTTCGATGTTCTCGTGAATGGAGCACTGTTAGGACGATGCGGGATCGATACGAAAACTGGATTGATGGTTGTGTGCCGTGGTTGCCAGACCTCTTTACAAAACAATGCTACGCCTGCGTCGGCTTTGAGCCGCCTATACTCTCCAGATGATGTTTTGGATGATGAATAACTTTTGTAACGTATATAAAATTGACGTTGGTTAATATTTTTAACCTGTTCTAACATAAAGACGAAACATCTCCGTATTTAAATCTAAATTCCTTTTCAGTTGGTCACTTAACAATATCCTAACTATGAACGGTAGAAAGACTTCATGGTTTCCATGAATGCCATCAGTGCTCAAAAATCGAGCTACGAAAGCTTAGTAATTAGTTCTTTTTAAATTTCTTGTTTCAAAATCTCCAGTTCTTTGGTCATTCAAATATATTCAACACTCAACAGTCTACGGTAAAGTGAATCTGCATTCGATGAATATTATTTCTTTTTTTACAACTTTTAGATATTTATGTTTCTGTTCTTTGTAGTTCTGACTTCTTAACTTTAAATTGCTTTTATTTTGAACTGATTTCTAATTATGAAGTTTAAAAACACTCGGCTTTTCTCTTGTAGCACATCTTTGGATTTCAGCGAGAGATGTACCCTTTGATAGTCTCATTTACATATCTAGTCACATCACATTTCATCGCCTTTTAGTCTAGGGATGAGTGAATCGGAATCCGATGAACGTTACTTGTAATTTTATTGGTTCAGAATTCAGAATGAATTCAAAAAGATACTTGTATGAATAAGAAAGAGATGTTTGCAGATTGAAATTTTTTTCTGCGCAAAGTTTGAATAATCAAAATCGATTCCCTATTCTCCGTCAGAGATTGATGATGCTTGATATCGATACAGTAGTAGTCAGAATAGACGGTACTATACGATACTTAATGCCTAGGTGGGATATACAGCTCCGATTAATTTCCACTCTTGTCGCTGAAAATTCGGTAACATCATGGTAATCATTTTATTCTCATTAGCAATGAGCTTTGCCAGCAAAAAAACTGTGGAAAACTTCGCCAAAAATATTCACTCCTTTTCGGTTTACCTACAAGGCAATTTTGCTACTATTGCGCAGCTTTTGTTTATATCTGCTACAAATTTATTTTTTTAATGATGATAATATTCTATCTCAACTTAGTTCACAGGTCCAAAAACTATTCTGCCCGCAGCAGTGAGATCTGTTATTGGATCAATGTTCACGGCTTGAAGTTTTTCTAGAATGGCCTTTCGACGTCTTTCAGCTCTTTCTGGAGTCATAGTTGGGATGTCGGCACGAAACATTTTCAGGTACTGAACATAGCGTGGACGTAAACTACAGTTTGCTCGTGATCCATGCATCATACGCTGATCCCAGAGAACGGCTGAGCCAGCTCGCATAGAAATATGGCAAGCTGCCTTGTACATATCCGGTATCTCATTTTTGTCGAAAACAATAAATTGGTCATGTGCCAAAAACCTTTCTCGAAACTCATAGTTTTTGTTCGTCCACTTTGTCATATATTGATGAAAACCAGGAATGAGCCAGAAGCCGCCATCTTCTTCATGATTATCTGCAAGATTGACAAGTCCCTGTACATATAATTGTCCAAGTTGAGCACAGCCAGCTTCATCATTCTCTAAGATCCAATCTCGATTCGATCGATAACGTAGCTCGGTAAAAACTTTGACTAAATGCGATTGATCATTATCTAAAATAAAAATAAAAATACGAATTTCAATCTTGTGAAAAAGACGAGAGCACTATCAACCTCCAATATAATTCCAAGGATTCATATCCAAGTGAAGATTGGTTATAGTTGCACGTTCAGGATGTTCTTTGGTTGGTCGAAACATTCCATAACGATCGTGATTTACTAGAAGATTTTCCGTTCCATAGATCGTTGCAAAAGCAGTATGCAGAGCTGGAGTCTGTCGATTCAACAAAATTTGTCGAGTCCAAAGACTCTCCGAGCCCAATATTCCTTTACCTGGAATACCTGATGCACGCCATAGTCTAATGCAAAAGGAAACAAAAACTCAATAGGACGAAGATGAAATAAATCGAATATGTCTTACTCTTGCGTCCACAATAATTCATCATGACGTAGTGGTTTTCCCAAAAGAGATTCGATGACGTCCCAAAGATCCGAGATTGTATTTGTGCATTGTTCCTCAGTGAAAACATCAGCAATGACGACAAAACCAAAGCGTTCGAAAAATTCACGCGCTTTTTCAGCCGCCGGACAGCCGTAGTTGGTCAAAATAAAACTTTGAACGAAGTTCTCAGCGTCCCTTGGTATAGTAAGCGGCTGAAAATCGATGTTAGCAGTCTCCATTGCTATGCGTTTCAATGTTTGAAGTCAAATAAAATTGAAAAACAACGAATATATATGTAGAAATTACTTATGTCATGTAGTGAAATTACATAATAAAAAGAGAAAGTAAATATAAAATTCTGGTATGTTTCATTTGATGAAAATACAATAAAAAACAAATAATCTCAAGAACAGAGAAAAAAGACGCATTTTTTCATCAACTAATTATGAAATACAAACCATGGTGTACATATTGTGGAATTTCGGCATGGGTTTTCATAGAGTTGTATGATTGAATTTATTTGAATTGGATGAATCACATTTCGGTTTAGTAATTCGTTTTGACCCAAGGTGTGAGTGTGGATGTAAATTGTGACGATTTTTGATACATATAAATGTGGTTATTTGCTACCTATTAATGGCTAGTATCGTACGCGAATGTGTTTTATTTTTTGCACAATGTTATGAGATAAGTAAGATAAGAACAAACCAACGACAAAACGAACACGTAACAATAGATGTCAGTATCTAATATTTATATGTATATTTTTTTCTGCATTTTAACTGAAAATTTCCAATCTCCGTCATTCATTACTCACACAGATTTTCGGTTTTCTTTAATGAATCTAAGATGCATTTAAAATCTTCTTTTTCTTCACTTCGCTGGCACATATAGAATACAAGCGACATAAATAAAAATAAATAATAGATTTGAAGTATTACACAATAGATTCGAAAGAAAAAGGAAAATCTATCATAAGACAGAGATAGGCATGTATCGAGCCCGAGTAGCTCGGGCTCGGGCTCGGTCAGTCAAACTGGGCTCGATCTTCAGTTTGTGCTCTCAAAGAAACTTCTTAAGTGTTGTTCCTTTTTATGCATCATAGTCAATGAATGAGAGGGTTACAACGCAGTGATATTGACGGATAGCAATAAAAGTCATAAAATACTTATGATGACACAGAATTTAGAAATTCGAGACGGAGGTAAATCCATATAGACCAACTTCGCGCCTAACCAAGACCGAGCCCGAGCCCACCGAGCCCGAGGTGCTCCGTTCAGGCTCGAGTTCGGTACATGCCTAACCACTACTTAACTCGCTTTCTTGCATCTTTCCGGATAATGATGTCACTAAAAATTGCAGAAGCAGCAACAACTTTTTGTAGCTCCTAAAGCAAGATTTGCGCTGAATATTAACTGTACATTTCAAGAAAAAAAGTCATCTTGAGGGTGCGGGTGTGTGGGTGTGAGTGTGGATGTGGATGTGCGTAGGGTGTGGGCGTGGTTGTGGGTGTGGGGTGTGGGGTGTGCGTGTGGCTGTGGGTACGGGGTATGCGGGTGTGGATATGGGGTGCAGGTGTAGGGTGTGGGTGTATGTGTGAGTGTGAATAAACAGACACCCACACCTACACCCACACCCACATCCTGCCGCCGAAGGAGATTGAACATGTTCGGGTCAAATGAAAGCTCTCACTGCCAAACTAATAAATTTAAAATATTACGTGTCCATGGCTTGTCTAGAGGAACATATTTAAATTTTAAGGGTGTGGGTGTGTGGGTGTGGTGTGGATGTGGGTGTGGATAGTGTAAATAACCAAAACCCACAACCACACCCACACCCACACCCACCTTTTATAATCAACGAAATATATATTCACATACATGTTTATTTTAAATAAAAAGCCAAAGTTCGTTTGTTTACGGACTAGGGAGTGGGTATGGTGGGTGTGGATATGAATGAAGGAAACATTCACAGGCCCGCATCCACCCACATCCACACCCACACCTCGAATTAGAGAATCTGATGGAACAGGGATTGCAAGTAAAAATGGACATAGTAATCATTTCGATTAGTTGAATAGCCCCAGACACATATTCATCAATCGAAGTCATTCAGTGTACGTGTCGGATTAGAACAATCATCGTGTTATAACATGAATGAAAGGTGAGAAACAAAGTATTGTTATGGGTGGTCATCAAGGACAAGAAAATAGTCTTTTACAATTATCCTATCCTTACGGAGTTGCTGTTGATCAAAGGTGTAATATCTAGATTTCTATCGTTTGAATTCATTTAGACTTTCAAATGGATTCGATCTCATGGCTATATCATTGTTCTTGATCGATATAGTTCATAAAGTCATTATCAGATATTTTCACTATTGATTCATAATCACTATATACCTACCAGAAATTTCGACAATGATGAAGTCTGCATGACATTGTGTTCTGGTTCTTCTTACAACATAATTTAAATATTGATTTCACTCGTTCGATAAAAACAGATGATATCGTAAAAACATCAATACTACTTCGAACGAGAGGGATACAAACAGTCGGGTCCATATAGTCGCTAGGAATCGTTTATGAAACAAACTGTTTGTCATTTATTAGAATATCAAATCATAAAACAGAAGGGCACAGTTCGAAATGAGTAACTCAGCATGTGATCGTCCAATCAAATGCAATTCAATAAAATGAATGAAGCAAATTTTTTATTACTACAGAAGAACAATCTTCACAAAAAAAAGAAACACTTCTAATGTTCATTTCAAACTTCCATTGGTGGTTCGGATGCACAAAGACTCTCTTGCTGTATAATTAAGTGAAGTAGATGTGCGTAACTCTCACATTTTCTCGAAGACGAGTCTAAATTCAACAGGACTTTTGACAAAGTTTGATTAAGAAAAAATCACGTATACAAGATTTCATCATTTGATTTTCTTTACATTCGACATTCTAAATTCAAGTTCTGAACTCATAGATTAGATAATTGTCTTATTTTTGAAAATGATTCTTCGACAGTTTTTATCAAAATAAAGATAGTCAACTGAATAGCAAAATATCTCTGATAATTTGTTATGTTTTGTGTTGGAACAATGGACAAATACAAATTATAATTGAACACATGACTGAATAGATGTAGTACAAGAATAGAATGAATAATAGTGAAAACAGTCAGTTCTAATCAATGTAAAGAATTGTTTTTTTTTTACAGAAATATTTTCATAGACAAATAGTCAAGTTCTTTTGAGCACAATGTCCATAAAATGGAGTCGATTTCCATTTCAAAGGCGTCTTAGCAGATATCCATACTGAAATATCCGAACAGTAGTTGTATTGATCGATCCAATTTGTTTTGAAAAGCCACAGATAAGATAAATGTTTACCGTTGAGTAGCACATGGAGGCAATCGTAATATTCAGCATTTGTTTGAAGTTGAATTTTGAGCGAACGAAGATTAGGAAAATATTTTACAAGTGCATTAACAATATTCAATGAATAAATTTGTCGATTTTCCAAGATCAAATGTAACACATTGGAATAAATGATTGGATGGTTCAACAATTCGAATTTGTCACATAATGTCAGTGTATGAATATATTTTGTCGGAAGAAAAGGAACCATATTAATATTGGTTGTTTTTAAATGACGAAGTCGACGAAATTCAACATGATCATCATTAGAGAAATTACATTCGTGTAGAACATTGAGAGTGTGAATGTTTGGAAAACGTCGTGATAGATTTGTACATGGTACATCAACTGTTAGATATCGAACATTCGGACAGATACTGATTGTATCATCATCCGCCAACATTGATATCTCAAGTTGTTCAAATGACCATGGAATTGTGTAAAAATGTGTACATAAACTATTGAATTTCGATTTATATGTTAAAAACCAACGTTTACTTAGTGTCACAAAAGCCTAAAAAAAAATAATAATGAAAATATCATACTTATGAATGAAATTAAGTATTTGAATGAAAGGATAATTTACTTCCTTATTGATACTATTGCCTGTCTGAATGAAACAATGAAAATGACGAAGTTGAGGCATAAATTGAGAAATTAATATTTCAATTTGATCGCCTTCTACAAATTGTTTATCATTACTAATCCATTGTCTTACATCGAGTGTAAATTTCTCGAGTTGAATCAGAGGCATAACGATTCCACGTAAATGATCAAATGTAAATGCTACTTGTTTATCAGTCATTATTCGAAATTCAATCAAATGCAACATAAATTGACGTGGCCAAAATTGTGGTATTGGTGATTGTTTACATACGTCAGATTGACATACAGTAACATTAAGGAAGATTAAATTAGGCGTCAGACCGTCGAATAGTATAAACAGATCATCAATGGTTTGTAGTGTAATGATCAGTTGTTTGAGATTTTGTTTCGAATATAATTGTTTGTCGAGAACGATACCCTCTTTTATGTTCAATTCAAGTTCGGTGAGTGCATCGAATTTACTATTGAACAACAGATCGCGAAGTTGTTTGATCTTCATATAGTCAATCGACGATTCGTTTTTATTCGATGCAGATTCAACAATATGTAAGGATTGTAATAAGCTAAACTCTTCTATATTTAATTTAAGATTGTGAATGTCTCTCTCTGTACATTCGAATAATGATAAATGGCGAATATGATTAGAATAAAACTTCCTTGATGAACGACACTCATCAAAAAATCTTTCAATCAGTGTCGGCATCGAAATATTGCTTATCGTCAACGTTGATGGTCGAAGATATTTATTAGTGAGTAAATTTATATAAACTAGAAGATCTGTATAGGAACATTTGGACAAATCGATTGTTCGATGATATTCAGATATGCAAGAAAGCATGCGATCGTTATAATTGATAAATGCTTTGAGTATGTGTATAGGAGATAAATAACGACAAATTATGAGAAGAATTTCATCAGGCAAATCGTCGAAACACATTAAATGTTGCACTTGACATTTGACTTCTGACTTATATGGTTTTCTAGTCTTAATTTAAACAATGTTGATAGGCTATTTTGTTTATTATTCATATACATACATTTTCTTTAGCCATTGTATATTTGCCACTTTGTAAATAATAATAATTACTTAAATTAAATTTATTCGTGATGAACGATTATTCTGTTGAAATTGAAAAGGACATGTTAGACGACCTTTGGTCGCGCAAATACATATTTATAAGGATGGCAGCGATGACTGCAGACAATAGTCATTGTTTTCTTGTTTCACATAGACGGTTACATGATGCGTTCAATGTGGACTAACAGCCATTGTGATATCTCTTTCATCGCCAAATAAATCTTGTTGTAAAGCACATCGAGAGCAAATACAGGGTGTCCCAAAAGTCTGGACGGAAAAAAAATTTGAATATCTTCCTTACGACTCGAGCAAATGAGCTGATTTTTTTATCAATGATAGAGGCTTGTTCAAAGTTTATATCCATAAAGACATGCCTAGAGATTCTCTTTGTCAAATACCACTATTGGTCTTAACAAAAAAGTTTACTTTTTCACAGATAAGAAAAAAAATAATATACTTAACAAAGGATCTCTCTAAGCATGTCTTTATCAATATAAAGCTTGAACGTACCTCTATCATTGATAAAAAAATCAATTCGTCTGCCCGAGCCCTAGTGGAGATATTCAATTCTTTTTTTCGGCAAAGTGACTTTTGCGCCACTCTGTGTATCGTTTTTTTCCTATCTGTGAAGAAGTAATCTTTTTTTTGTTGAGACCAATAGTAGTACTTTATAAAGAGGATCTCTAGGCATGCCTTTATGGGTATAAACTTTGAACATGCCTCTATCGTTGATAAAAAAATCAGCTCATTTGCTCAAGCCGTAAGGGAGATATTCAGATTTTTTTTTCCGTCCAGACTTTTGGGACACCCTGTATAATGTGTTCACAATACAAAAATGGAGTACAAAATAGATTTTGTCGAATCATACATGGTTGGATAGAGATTAACGAAGAGATTCTGATTAGTAACGACTAACAAGGCAACATTCCCAGGTGTAGGAGCACTTTTCAGTCGGAGTTTCGCGCATCTTGTAGCCCACAGTAAGCTGTGTCTATGGTAAAAAAAATTCGGGTTTCTGACTTGTTTCTGAAGAGATAACGAGCTCCTAGTGAATTTTCTCTATAGTACGCCTATATTGGCAGCGAAGCTATACTTTCGAATTTCGACCTGAAACTTTGCCTGCATTAAGATCTCAATTAGACTAGCTTGCATAAAAAATTTCACAATTTTTGGACTAAGTCTCTTCGAGATACGAAGCTCTCAAAAAGTACATGTTGTCTATACTATATATGGAAAACGGCCTATATCTTGAAAGCTCCATATTTCGGAGAGGCTTAGTCCAAAAGTTCTGAATTTTTTTAATGCAAGCTAGTCTAATTGAGATCTTTATGCAGGCAAAATTTCAGGTCGAAATTCGAAAATATGATCTTGCTGCAAAACTGGAATCCTACAGCAAAAATTCACTAAAAACGTTCGATCTTCTCAGAAACAAGCCGTAAGCACGAACTCTTTTTACCATAGACACAGCTCACTAAGATCTACAAGATGCGCTAAGTCCCAACTTGAAAGCGCTCGGGCACCTCGGAATGTTTCCTTGCAAGTTTTGGCATCGTGAGTCTATGTGCTACCACAAAATGAATATATCAAAAGTGAAGAGATAAACGAAAAGTAGTCTTGAGAGACATGTGACTTTCAGTGATCATTCCTCGTACTACTGTATTCGTATCAGTTTTGCTCAAAATTAGTCACTGTTCAATTTGTGTTCAACTTTCATCGAATGTAAGATTCTTGGAAAGTTTAGACATCATTGAGAAGAGTGTAGTGTCAGGTCTTTATCGAACAAACTCCCGCATCCACATCCACATCCTTTTCGTGTCAATATATGCGAGCGAGAGACATATTGCTCTTTTAGTAAAGTTTTGTCAATAAAGAAAAATTAGAAATGAAGATAAAATTGATTTGAAAAGATTGTTTTATCATTTCTTGCAGTGTTCCACTTCAGTTCGAGGAAGTAAACATGTAACAATATTTGATTGTTGAAAAACTTATCGTATTACATTCATAAAATCTTCTTTAAACAGAAATTGTTTTGTAAACACCACAAAAGTAAGGCAATTATCAGTTGACATAATGGAATAACTCACATTCTCAAACAGTGTGAAGCATTTTCCTCGTATAGAATGCTTCGTCTTGTCAATCAAATTGTGTTATGACTGCTTCACGTGCATGTCCCTTCTTTTTTCTCTTTCTGTCGTCGTACAAAGAAAACTATTTTCTGATTTTTTTTTCTTCTATTCTGTCAAGGACACTTTTTTCTAGTCGAGGCGATGTTATCGTGTGCTATCATCGTTTCTAGTTGTTTTTTCTTTTCCTCCCATCGTTTATCCTTGCCTTTTTTCCTCTCTCTATCTCTCTCACATTCTCATTTTGTCACATTCTATAGATCTAGATGCACAGAAACAGATATGGGTAATAGTACTTCATCGTTTTTATTTTCATATAAACTGAACTTCACTCGTGAGACACCAAATGATTTTTATTTGAGTTGTGATCGAGTTCAAGGTATTATTCAAATTATTACAAATGATAATGACAATGATTTAATCCGTAAATATGGCCCATTATACGTTGAACTCATTGGCGAATTGCATGATTTCAAAACAAATACTCATCAACATTACACAAAAGGTGTTCATATATTCTTTCGAAGACGAGCACAAGTGATAAAGTTACCAAATGACAATCAAAAACTGGTTAGATATTTATTTAAAATGAATTTTTTGTAGGAAGAAAATCAAGTTCATCGGCTACGAATGTCTTGATTTCAAATCGAACCAATAAAATCTTTGACAGTTATGTCCAATAGATTCGATAAAATCCGAGAATGAAACTTTAAAGAGCAGTAATTGTAAAACTACATTCCAAGAAAATCCATGGAAAATGAATTTGACTCGTAATTTGAACATATCTATCTTGCAAAGTACAACTTTTGAATGTTGCCGTAAATTACAAGTTTCTATTTTCCCTTTATGTCAAAATGTTGATTTTCTTCTGAATCTTCTCTCTTAATTATTATTGTTTTTTTATTAAGGAAACCACTCGTCTTCGAAGTTATAGATGGGCATTCGATGGTTCATTAGATTCTTTGCTTCCTTCATCATTACCACCTGATGATGAGTGTGATCCATGCATTTGCTATTATGCTCGTGTTTATCTTCGTCATGCTAATAATACTGATTTTGCTCGAAAATTTTCTTTTCTTGTCTTTACGCGAACACCAAAATCGATTGTTACTCGACAATCGCTAGAGAACAATATCATTGATACAAGTGTACGACATAAAGGTGTGAAATTATACGGTGCACTTCCAAATAATGGACTTGTTGTGCCCGGTCAAACTCTCATGTTACAAATTGAAATTGACAATCCAATGAAAGTAACAATCAAATTGATTCGAGCAACACTCAAACAATATCGAACTATAACAGATCAAGAAACTGATTTTATTATTTTGTCTTTTATTTTACCAGGATTTAAACCGAAAGGATTCAATAGTGAATATCGTCAAAGTACATATGAATTACCAATACCAATGGAAAAATGTCGACTCATGGCGCCAACATCATCTTATAAAAGTGTTCGATATGAACTTCATATTCAATGTTATTTACATTGTTCATTTAATAATCATTTTACATTAACATTACCAATTATTTGTACTACTGATCATCAAAAACCATTAAAAATTATGGACGAATTGAAATCTGTACCTGAAATTCTTCGACGTCTATCGAGTAAACCAGAAGAAAAACCACCACCGAGCTATGAAGATTTCATGGCCAGTGAGATTTTACCCAACTATGAAGATATTATTCATTAATCGTTCTACGTTCTTCATTATTTCGAATATATACATATTTGCAGTACAAACAAATTTCTCTTTTTCAATGATAGACATTAAATACTCACAGAATTATCCACTTGATGATTCTCGAACTTGCTCATAAACACCGATGTACAACTCAGAAATAATTATAATAGTAATAAATCAATTTTATCTATATATATGTATATCAGTTAAACTTTCATCGATTAAATGGTGTGATTTGAAACAATGATGCAATCTAGACGTAGGATATTTTAAGTCATAATTCGAATTTTTCTCAACGGAGTCGCACCCT